GACATAATATGAGGAAAACAGTGTTTAAGCCTTTCAGTTTTTAGTATAAAATTTTATGCAAGATTTTTTCACTTTTGATGACCTGCCAATGAACATTGATTAGATGTCACAAAAAAAAATTTAGCAAATACAATTCTTGATACATCTCAGCTTTTTACCCAAGGAATCCTGAATGGATTGTGACTTTCTGAATGTGCCTGTACTTTTTTATTTCAAAACTAAGTCCTGGTTTAAGAAAAAGAAAATTCATTAGAGGCCTGAAAACAGTTGCTACTGGCATAAAAAGATACATGACGTAATAGAATTTAGTATTCAAAAGCAGGAGAAAACCAGAACATGCAATTAAACATTTCCACTTTTTTATATTATTTTGAGGATTAAGAAGGGGCTTTACTTATTTCCATACTTTTTCTTAATATAGCCATCTATTAATTAGAATCCACTTCAGCTTTTCAAAATTTTCCTCATTTTCTGGGAAGGTATTGTTCTTGATTAATAGTAAAGCAGTCCTGTTAATTTTTATTCTTAGTGCAAAATTCATAAATTCATTTTACAATCCTTGCAATACTAAAAATACTAAGTAAAGGATGAGCTGTAGGCAAGGGGTGAGAAACATCAGAATGTCTTTTTTTGAGTTTGAACTTTTCTAAAAAATAATATTCACCCCTATTAGATGTTTAACAGAATATTAACCTACCAGAAGCCTTGAAGATTGGTAACTGTACTGCAGTTCCTCAGTTGTGGTCACTGATCTTCCTGTCACAAAAAAAGCTTGCACAGTCCATGGTTTACTCATTACAATTCTCTTTGCTTTCCAATTTGTAAGTAAGTAACTTCAGCAATCAGACGTGTGGTTGGTGACAAGCTCATCAGAAAGCAGCATTTCCAATCTTTGAATTTTTAAGTGTGAGTCCAGAAAGTTTGCCAGAGATGCCAGCACTTCAGCAGTTAAAAAAACCCTGGTTTTAATCAGCTGAAATTTATATGCCAAGCAGAACTTCCTCATGAAGCAAGCTATATGTTTTCTAATGTTCAAAAGGTTTGGTAGAAGAGGGCAGTTTGGATGGATAGAAAATTGTTCTGCCAAAGAAAGCTCATCCTTTACAAAAGGGTTGCTGCTTATATTTCATATATTTGTGTGGCATCACTGTTACCCAGCAAAAGGGACATTTTCACTAAAAACATACTTGCCTTCAAAATATAATGACATTGTATACATTATCAATTTGGAATATTTTTCAGCTTGAGAGATGAAATTCACAGCAATTCTTTGCTGTTAAAATACTTGTGTTAAAAAAGCTTCAGACAAGAAAATCTACTAACAGGGTTTCATTAATTCTTAGTTAATGTAGAGAATACTTTGGTTTTATTGACCAGATTCAAGCTTCAAAATCTTAATAGTTAAAAAAAAGTAATACAATCAATAAAAAGACAAAAAATGGAAGGGGTTTTGCAGTTTGTTCTTTAACCAAAACTTGAATTGTTTTACACTCTGAATTACACAATTCAAAGAATAACTGAAGAAAATATTGACTGTAAAAAAGAGAAGAAGAAATGCTTTTGCATAGTTTGCGGCCCCTTTATTTGCTTATAGAGTCATCACTGTTGTGTGACCAAGAAATAGCAACCAGCCCAGTTCTTGAATGGATGCGCATTGGCATTTTTTAAAGATTTGTCATAATATTTTCTTTGAGAAGGGTGTGGACTCCTTATATACCAACTGCTGGCAATAATTAGCTTATACCAAGCAAAATTCCTGTATTTTCTACTGGACCTGTGTATCTGCTATTGCACATAAATAGCAACTAATAATAAAAGAATTTTATTTTCTAACAATATCAAAAAACCAAAGTTAATGGTTATTTTCATGGTGTACAAGAAGTCCATCATGTTAGAAAAAAATTAGTGATTAATTTTTTGTATAAAAATATTTGTTGTAAGAGATGCTATTTTTTTAATGTTTATATTTAGTCACTAGTTTGGAATAACTTTGATTTTTGTAATTGAAATTATGCTAATATTTCTCTTGTAATAAATTATTCATGGTTATGTACTAAATTATCTGTGTTTTTTAAACAAGGGATAAAAAAAGAGTGTCATCCGTATTTCAAAACTAGAGAAGAAAACCCAAAGCTGATGTATTAGGCGTGTTTGTCTCACAGCCAGTCTCAGTGGAGAGTGTTTCAGTGAGTTGTGAGGTTTTCCAGGCAGTGAAATGAAGAACACTATTTAAAGTAATTAGATGTGTTTTGGTATGTAGGGTGAATGGTTAAGAAGGAGAACAAAGCAATCCTCAGAGGCAATACATTGCTAACCAAATTACAGCTTTTAAATGCTGATACCAAACCAATCTTGGCAGCTACTCATTATTACCATATCTCAGGACAAATTAATGGGCAATTAAGTTCCTTATATAGCTGCACCAACTAAATTTAGGCAGGTCAAGAAGACTTGGATATGTTAAAAAATCTGTACGATTTTGGAAGGAAATACATCAGTTACCAGTTTCTATGGAAATCTGTTCTCTACCATCTTCATTTTCCAGCCACACTTGAAAGAATCATGCCATAATAAAATCTTCATCCCAAAGGGTACATATTCAAAACTTCAAACTCTACTCATCGGGGCTGCATCCCGGAGTTATGTAGGGAGAATTTTCTAGAATACTTTGAGAAGGATGTGGATTCTCATTATTTAAATTCCAGCAAAATAAAACTGGCAAGTGTGCTAGGAAGTATCCTTCCAGCAGGGCAGATTTGCACTGACTCCTTTTGGGCAGGTTTTAAAATGGTGCCATGGTTCAGAACATGGTGGGAGCTGAGCAGGAGCCAGGCTGGCGGTGCCTGAGGTGGGAGGGATGGTGATGTGCTTTGGTGGGCCTGTCGGGCCTCCCATCTGTGAAATCTGCTGGGGGGAGCTGGGGAGGAGGAGGAATTGTCCTGAAACAAGTGTCACCAGCCCTGTACATACTAGAAAATGGTCTGCATTGCTTCTCAGGAGTACTTTTGACGAGTGAATTCATTTCATTTTCTGAAAATAAATTCCATTTTTTCAATAATGCACCTTTTTAATAGAAAAGAGATGTATCCTAAGTGGCTGGCTCACAAAAGCTTGGAGTTCTGTCTTTTTTCCTCCCAGCCATGATACAGGCTTGTTCCAAGTGTTCTGATTTTTGATCAGGAAACAGTAGCTAAATTTTTACAAATGCTGAAGACTCCTACAGCCTTTGACGGAAGCTTCCCTGTATGGACGTGTCTTCTTTACTGCTTTTTCCAGATATCATTTTTATCACATGGAAGTTTGAAAAAAACAGCAAACAAACATCCATCTCTTTATGGTCAGTGACAAGGATATCTATTCATCCATTTTTTGCCTGTTAGAATATGGTTGGAATTTGAACTAAGCTCACAGTCACCATGAGGTCTAAGGTGGCCTACTCAGTCTTTATGTAAGGGTGTAGCTGTTCTGATAAATAAATACACTGTAGATACCTGACCTTTGTACTGCAGACCATTTCTTGCTGCAAATTAAGCACCAGTTTCACAAGTTCTTGTGCTTTTTCATTTATTTACTGCCAGCTTGATTATAGCAGCTGTTTAATTTTTCTGTGTCAGAATGTTAATAACACCTTCTTCAAATTTTTCCCCAAGCAGCCTACAGAAAGATTATATTGGGAAGTGGAAGCCTGGTAGGCAAGCCTTGTTGGCTCCAGTTGTTAGACCAGCGTGTTTCCAGGATGGGTGCATATTCACCATGGGACAGCTCAGTGAGAGGCAGGAGCAAGGTGCTTTGAGTACATAAATTTAATGAAGCTGGTTTTCACTGCATGGTGCTGTAATGTATTACACATTAACTTGCAGTAATATGGCAAAACCAGTTTTACAAGAGCTGCTTAAAAAGATGTCTCGTATATTATTCAAAGTCTCCATGTACTTTATATTGTGGAGAGTGTTTGAATTTCACATTGGTAGTGCATCATCTGCTGAAAAGCTTTGTACTTCTGTGGCCTGGGCATAAACTGTGTTGAGCTCCATGTGTGTACTGTGTTTTCTCAGTTTTGGCTGAGAGGGAGCAGAGCCAGGACAGCTGACCTGAAGTGGCCAAGGGGATATTTCACACCATAGAACATCATGATCAACGTATAAATTGGAGGGGAGAGGAAGGGAAGCTGGCTGCGGGCTGCTGGTTACTGCCTGTGGATGGGCTGGGCAGGGGGTGAGCACTGGTAAGGTGCATCACTTGTTTCTCTTGGGTTCCATTCCTCTCTCCTTTTAACTGCTATTGCTATTGTTACATCTTACTTTGTTTCAGTTTTAACCTGCTCTTGTCTCAACCCACAAGTTTTACCTCCTGATTCTCTGTCCCCTGGGGCAGAGGCAGTGAGCAAGCAGCTGTGTGGCACTGCTGCCAGCTGGGGTTAAACCACAACAGCTGTAGGCCTGCATTCAGTCATGGGTCTGATGAAGGGCTGAATGCTCATAAATAAATTGATTATGAAAGTAAACAGTGACATCAGTTGTTGGCAATTCTTCTGGGAAATTACATGAAATAATATCATGGTTTGATTGATGCAGAAATACCTTAGAAGTGTGTTTGAAGGTACTCCCAAATGTTCAAACAATGGGACTAACAATTTCCTTCCCCAAGGGTTGATAACTACCAAAATACTATTGCAGTAAAGATGGCTGATTACTGCCAGGATTATATTTGATTATGAGATGCCATCCTTTGGAAATTCCAAACTTTGTGGGGTTTTCTATATTTAAGTTTAGTGTTACAGTTATTTTTAAAAATTGGAAATAAAAAATTAAACTGTGACTCAATTTCTGACCAAAATTAAATTGAACTCATTCTTTCTCTAGCATGTTTTACATATTTCATCTACAAAGCCCTATAAAACTAAATATTGTGATGTATTTACCTAAAAATAATTCACAATGCAATCACATATTTCCAAGAACATATTTATTTGCAATGATCTGACTATTTTTTTTTAATAATTATGAATTCCATCTACCTTTCCTTCTCTACAACATATTTGTGTTGACCACAGTTAAGATTTAAAATTAAAGGAATAATAACATAAGAGGTAGGGGTACAGAGGTGTCCATGTAAGGTATCACAGGATCCATCTGAGCACTACTGTAGGGTTCCAGTTTTTACTTGCCCATGAATCATTCTGGCCATTTGCAAGGGGAGGCACTGCTTTGTCCAGCCAATCACTGAGCTGGCTGTCCCTTGGACAGAGCCCTGCTCTGCTTCTCTAGGGCTGGATGCTTTGCTGTGCACAAGGACTTGCCTTTAAAAGTGACCTAGCCAGAGCTTTTCTGTGGCATTCACATCTTCTGAAAAATCCCTTCGCCCAGGATTTGTCTCCTGGGAAGCTGAGAGGCCTCAGAGAAAAAGGAAAACAATATTATCTGGTTTGCTTATCCTGTGTTTTGCTCCTTTGGAATGTGTTTGGAGATTGTTTACCCACAGGTGATGGTTTCATTGGCTTCTGCTGTGAGTTGTTTTGATTCAATGTTGTGTGGGGTCTCTGGAGAGAGTCACAAGTTTTCTTTGTTACCTTTTTAGCATTCTGTAAGTATCCTGTCTGTATTCTTAGTATAGTGTATTATTCTTTAATATAATATAGTATCATAAAATAATAAATTAATCTTCTGAAAACATGGAGTCGGATTCATCATTCCTCCCTTCATCAGGGCACCCTGCAAATACAATACTCATCAGAGGTTCTTCCATCATTTTTGCTCTGCCAATCAGTATTCCCCTGTGCATGAGTCACAGTAAGTATAAATAATATAATAATATCGATGCAAGAATTACTGTAACTCAAAGGAATTAATAAAAATATCTATAAGGTGAGTAGGTTTGGTTACTGCTTTTCAGACAGATTTTTCTCCCTAACCATGAACACAAAGCCTTGAGAGGTCCAAACCAGTGTCCTGGAGTATCTTTCTCAAAGAAGAAAAACTGTGCCAAGACCAAACAGCTGCTTCAATATGTAGGATGCTGGTACTGTGATTTAGATAGAGACCTCTCTAAAAGGTTGAGATTTTCGGTAGCAGCTACATAAGTGGCATGCTTAATGATAACATTTCAGGAAATATATTGGTATAAAATTTGTGATTATGTCATCTCTGTTAGATCTCTGAGGGTCACTGTTAACTCTGCAAAAGTAGGACGTCCTTCAGGTTTCTGAAAAGAAAAGCAGAGGATAAATTTGTGTTAGCAGATTGGTTGATTACAGTACCAGACTTCAGAAATTGGATATAAGTACATATAAGATAATGCTTTAAAATTACATTTCATTTTATTAATACAGAAGAAAAGATCAAGTTTGTCATTTTAGAGAAAAAAAAAAATCATTATTAATGACACCAGCAGCATGAGCACAAACACTGGTAAAAAGATTCCTGACATTTCTTTATACTTAGTTCTGGATCAGAATTCCTATGGAATTTCCCCCTGCAGTAGGTCTGTGGAAAGCCCTGCCAGTCAGGAAAACATGGTACTCAGGAATGCTTCCTATGTTTTTGAAAAAGGATCTTCACTGCTGAATAATTTGAAGTGCTGCAGCTTAGTGTGGAACAAACTCCTGTCTGGTGGCAGACAGGAAAGAGAGCTTCTTCCCCATGATCTCTCTGCTGGCTGGCACCCCAATGGATGTTTGTAGTAAGCAGGCAAGCTGGATGCAATTTAGTTTTCCATCTCTTAAGCTTTTTTTTTTTTTAAACTCAGGATTTAAAAATTTTATTCAGAGTAGTAAGGGGGGAGATAAAGGAGACAATGGTAGCAACAAGATTCCCCAGCTACTCACTGTGTATGCCTGCAATTTTACATGAAAAAATTGTACACAAAGCTCTTCTGAAAGGAATTTTAACCTAAAATAAAGATGTATTTCTTCTAGAGACTAGAGAAGGAGGTCCCTTAAGGGATTAATCAGATGGAGAAGTTGATGAAATCAGTGTTTTGTTGCCAATATAGAAATGGTGAAAGAACATGAAGTACTAAATCAGCTTGGAGAGGGTGAAAGAGGTGCAGCCTAGGAGCTGCACTGATGTACAGAGATACTGATATACACTTGAAAATGGGGGTTCAAAATCTACAGTTAGTGGGCATATCCACTTGGTATATGAATGTGTTATCATTCAGAGCAGATCTAGAGAAAGTATGCATGATACAAAGGCATGAAAAAGGAATCACATTGCACCCAGCAGAGAAACATGACAACAGTGGCATATTCCAACCCAGGGGTGGTCTAGATCTATTGTTATGATAGTGTGCTATATATTTCTTGGCTGCAACAGTCAAAAGAAGCAGAGGCTTGTAAACTTTGGTGTGATTTGTGAAAAACATAGTTGGAGATGCTGAGAATGCCACAGACGTGGAATAAGGATTGAATGCCTTGAGCTTTTAAGGTTGCTTTTATATCCTTGTTAAAAAGTAAGAAAAAAGTAATACCTGAGGGGAGAAAAAAAAAAGGGGGAACAAACCTCATGCCAGCAGCTGTACATGACTTTGTACACCGGATGTGATGCCAAATGTGGTCGATAAAGTCGGTTACCCTGAGAGATCTCACGGACAACTTCAGCATTTGACTTGGTTTCAAAAGGCATTTTGCCTTCCGTGAAAACTTCCCACATCAGAACACCTAGAAGTGAACCAAAATAGGTTTAGGACAAAACAAAATATGCCAAAACCACCAGCTTTAAGAAAATTAGGAGAATAAAAACGAGTCCTGATTCTTCTGTGTGTTGAAAAATGAATGAAAATACTGGCAGCCTGAGCTGAATAAAGGATACAGTCCAAACAATTTTCAGCTACTATAATTCTGCTCTCTTTTAAGTCAGCTAAGGTGATGGTCCATGAAACTCAGATGAATATGTTTGGCTAATGAGGACTCATCAGAAATGCACATTTCAGTCAAAATCTACTTTTTAGGTGCAGAATCTTTCAAATGAAAAGTCCATTTGTCTGATATAAGCAAACTTTGAAAAATGGGAAGGACTGAAGCTTAAGATAAGTAACATGGGTAAAAATTTACACTTTCCCAGATCATATCCATAGTTTTAGGGAAGCGTGGTTGCCCTTTTACCTAATCAACTCACCAAATGACCAGACATCTGATTTGCTGCTATATTTTTTGAAATGAAAGACTTCAGGAGATGACCATTTGACTGGAAACTTGGCACCTGAAGAGCTGATATATTCATCATCAATGACATACCTGAAGAATAAGAGGAAACCACATATATTTGAATGAGTGACATTTCCACAAATGGTTTAGAATTCCAGAAAAATAGTATCAATTTGGAAACAACAAAATTATATCACTACTTTAATATAAAATGAACACCAAAAAAAAATACAGGAAGCTATGCACTTAAAGACATTTCTGTTTAAATGAATGATTTGGATTATTCATCAGAAATATGTCAGAATAAACCATTTTAATACAAACATAGAGTGACAGGATGGTTATTATTGTCATCTTTTGGGTGTATACACATCACTTCAGCATGGGCAGGAGAATTAGCAGCAATAAATAATTAGTCTTTTTTTAAAAGAATCCACCTTTTCAACTGCTTGTTCTACCCAAATAAGACTCTCGCTGTTCATCTCCACAGATGCCATATCAGGGACATTGTTACCAAAGCAACACAAAGAAATGTTCATCACATTCGAGGCAACAGTTCTTGTAGGTGCACTAAAGTAATTGTAGGAGCTGACCTCCCAGATAAAATGAAATTATGTGCCTAAGGCAGGCATTTATAGGGCAGCATTTTAAATTTTTACTAGGCAGACCCCAACATCCTCATGAACTCTGGGCACATTTTCTCAGTATTAATGTTCCTGAGCAGATCACAGACGTGCAGTACACATTTATTCTCAGGTAAAGCATAAATGTAATTTTTTTAAAGCACCTTTTAAAGGAGATCACATTGAAATAAGTAATCTTTTTGCCTCACTTTCTCATTTTGTTTCAGGCACAGAAACATGGGAGGTTATTGAATAAGGAACATATGAAAGAGCAGTACAAAACAGCCTGTAGTAGCAGTTGTGCGAGCTCTGAATAATTAGGTTGTGTTCCCATCACATCTCCACAGCCTCCCCAGGAGAGTGAGTCCTAGAGCCACACCACTGATCTCCACGTTGTGGCCACAGTGAGCCATTCAGGTCTATTATTCTTAGGCTGGACCCTGACAGCCACCTTGTTCTTACTGTATTTTCTCATTCATTTGGATAAGTCCAGAGCCCTGATACTGACCTTACCCTTTTGGGGAGCAGTACAAGCATGGTACAGGATAGCCCTTTGAAAAATAAGTCCTTAGCTATAAACTGCTAGGGTGTTATAAGCCTGAGGTTAGAAATAAGAGGCAAAACTGAAGGAGCATGGCTGTGCTGACCTAATGACTCACAGCCACAAGGTAAGTGTCACCACAACCTTCTGCTCAAAGCCACTGACTTTGCTCTTTCAAGCTCATCTGCCTCCTAAGTGAGCTGATTCAGTCTGCTAACCCACAGAAAAACTAGTCAGTAAAACACAAAAGTGGAGAGCTTTGTGCTGGGCATGCAAGAGGAAAGGAGAAAGGAGACATCCCCTTTGCGTAGCATTTGGCCAGCTCAGCTGTGCCCTCTGGGGAAAGTCTGTGAGGCTAGAGATATGCTTCTCAGGCTGGTGCTTGTCAGAATTCAGAGTGCTCTCTTTCCTCACTTTGGCTGGTTCTATCACTGAGCAGAAAAACCACTTCCCTGCTAGAGCAGCGTGTGTCACACTTCCTACCCACACAGTCCTCCCTGCATCCTGCCTCACCTACGCAGCTACCGCTGCCTCCACAGGTCAGCAGCATCTCCCAGTCCTGTCCCTAGTGACTTTCTGACCTCCATCCTGCTCAGCAAAGTTGGGGAACTTCTTTTTACCAGCTTCTGGCTGCCCTGTGCACTCTGGGCATTTCTCTGTCCATAAACACCTCTGAAGTTTACCTGGCACTTTGTTTACCTATCTTGAAATCACCAAGAGCAAGAGGAGGACACATCATCCAGTTCATGGTGCAGTGGTTAAACAACATTACAGTTTTCATCAGGATTCAAAAATGACCCACAGTGGGATTCCCCAAACCAGTGAAGCAAGCAGTGAGGTTAACTAAAGATCATGCTGCAGCTGTCTGAGAAGAGGTGCTCACAAAACCTTTGTCAGTGGCCTCGTACCTTGCCATGCCAAAGTCAGATACTTTAACCACGTGCTCCACATTGACTAAACAGTTTCTTGCAGCCTAGGGAAAATGAGAGAAACATATCTGAAATCTGTACTAAAGAATTTTAAAAGAAATACAGCAGCTGATTATATTTGCTTTAGCTCATGCTGTGCATATCTGAAAAGAGATTAGTGTATTGGTCAAAAATATTAGTGAATTTTTGTCTCTGAGTCAGTGAACATATTTCACTACTGTGTAGTGAAACACATACATAGCACCTAGCAACTTAAATGCTTGTAGTATGAGTTGCAACATGTTTACGTATTCTTGAACCGTGAAAGCCTTTTAGGCTGCAGATCTAATGATCCAACCAGATATTTCCTGAACATCAACACCGGGGACAATTAGTGTAAATTTTTAAAATTTTTTTGTGATGTTTTCACTACAGAAATGAGTAACCTCCTGGTAATTTTCAGGATTTTACATTTCTTCATGCAGCTAGGTAGGAGAGGAGGAAGATTTCCACTCTACATCCATATGTGAGCATTGAAAAAGGATCAAGGAGTAAAGAAACAAACTCCTTTCCTCTAAATCCCTGCCTATGGGCCGAAAACCCACTCATATATTCCAGCATTAATGAATGGCTGTAGAGAGCCAAAAATATAGATAGAAAAATATTTCAATTATTTTAAATTCTCATTGTTGCTGACCTTTTGTAATGCTTTGATTTTGGTTGTGTTCTAATCACTTTCACATTGAGATGTCATAATACCAGATAGTTCCATGTCAATATTCTAATTTTCTCTGACCTCTCAAGGGGTTTGCCTTATTAGATCTTTCAGGGCTGAAGTCTTACAAGCTACATAGTGTCCCATAAAATGCAACAGCACATTCTCTACAGCACACATTTGATAAGAACCTCAAAAAACCTATAGTACTTACCAAATCACGGTGAATAAAGCTATTTCTTTCCAGATATTCCATCCCTTCACAAACATCCTGGCACATGCTCAGGAGAACTTCTCTGCTGAGTTTCCCCCGCCTTTGCCGAAGGTAATTGAGCAGGCAACCATTTTCCATGAATTCAGTCACAACGTAGAGAGGTTTGTGGTGTGTGCACACCCCATAAAGCTGGACCAGCTTTGGGTGGGAGAGTTTCCTGTTTAAAATCACATTTTAGACAGGCTACTATTTGTTCTTGGCAGGTAACTAAACCTTTGATTCTCATGGTGGTTTTGAAAAATATTTTCACTACTTGATAAAGAGTGTCCTATTCAGCTTTTTTCAGAGTTCTCCCAGTACTTAGCACTTTTCTCTCTACTTCCTACAAAAATTTCACTCTGTGAACTCATAATTCTTCATCAGTTATATAAGTGCAGTGAATGCAAAGCTTGATTTGGTTGATGCAAAATGGAAATGTCTAGTTACACTTGGTTTGCAGGCAGGGGCCTTGACCCTGCAAGGGTTCATCTCTTCTGGGCCAAGACCTCATGTGGATGCTTCCCTAATTTGCAAAATTTGCATATATGGTAATACAGTTTCTCAAAAGCTTTAGTTGGATAGAAGCTCTGCCAGTATTCCTAGAGGCACTGAGTTATGGATTAAATAGTTATAGGAGCACATTTACATTTTACCAGAACATTTATTCCCCATTGAGCTCCATAGTACAAAGCAAGGCACACTCTAAAGATAGAGTCTGGGCATAGGAAGCATCTGCATCAGCATGGTTCAGACCTTTATGTCAGCCTTTCTGTCCCACATATCCACCATTCCCATCAAACTTTGTTTGTTTGAAATGGAATTAGGTTATATTCATTTCCTGGTAAACTGACAGAATGGCTTTTGTACTTACATCATCAGTTTGGCCTCCTCTATGAAATCATCTTCAGACATTGCACCTTCATTGATTGTTTTGATGGCAACCTTGATAGTCTCTTTCCATTTACCAAGGTAAACAACTCCAAACTGCCCACGCCCAAGTTCTTTCAGTAACAGCAGCTCAGATGGGTTTAATCCCCACTCCTCTGCAAAAGCAACCCAATATGTCAGGAGAGTCAGGCCAGCTTTCCTGAGCCATGCTCCAGGACACACGCCTTGCATGGCAGTTAATGAGCACTGCAAAGCATCACACTGCTTCATCAGCTATAGCATGAGGTCTAAATATTTGAAAATGGCTCATGTATGTTTAAATATAAATGCTATTTAACAGCTTAAAAAGCGTGATTACTAATTTTCCTTAACGTTGGAATGTCTGAGGCTTGAAGATAAGGCAAGTGTTTAGATTTGATTACACACAAGAATTTTTTGGCACTATGATATGTGATGTTTTTAGCTCCAAACCAGTTCCAGATGGATAGTAAATACAGAAATAGCCACTGGCTACCATTATTGTAAAAACTACAATAGCTCAACCCTTCAGAAATATTAAGCCTTGAGATTCATGGGAACATGAAAGATACTCAGTCTTGGAGGTTCCTGTTGCCCAATAGATGGTATGAGATTCCTGATCTATATGCACAAAACTGGCATTTATTGCCTGTTTGTTTTAATACTGCAAAAGATTCCATTCTTATTTCTGAAACCTGGAGGACTGACAAAGAAAATCTTCTCCATAAATAGTATTAATTTCAGGTTTCAGTTTCGGTTTCCTAAGCATTTACATAAATCAAATAGCCTTTCAAAAGCTATTAAATGTCTATTTGAGTCTTGGGTTTGCTTAGAAAAGTCCAAATATCTCTGAATGCACTGGTGGTTGTAACAGAAGCACAACAGTCTCTGCACAGCAGCAGCTGAGTCAGGTGTCTCATTTGGTACTGACACCTTACACTGTTTATGTGTTTATTATTACCAAAAATTTCACAGATACAACTTAATTATTAAGCTGCGTGGATATGAGCTAAATTCTTGCCTCAGCAGATAGCTACATCTCCTTCAAAAGAAGATAAAAAACTTACCATAATTCAATCCTGCGGTTTCTGGTGAGGTACATCCATCTGATCCGACTGGATGGCGGAGACGTGTGATAAGACCTGTCAGGGACAAAGCCACAATATTCTGCTGACTAATTACTTAATTTTAAAATATGCTGTATCATACCTCTTCTCAAACAAAGCTACGTGGAATCTGGTGTAAATTTCTTATTTCTTGAATTTATTTTTGCCGAGTTTGCTCAGATAAAACACTACAGTGAGAAGAAATAAAGACTATTTAGTAGGGCCCTACCTGACTACAAAAGTATTTCTACTTTCATAAAGCCAGCAGTAATACTCTTCCTTTTATGTACCATGATAGTGAGCTTAAATGAACTATAAAATACTGTATCATCACCGACCTAAGCAGTGTCTGCCAGTCTTCCAGGTTTGAAATATTTTTGTGTCTCATTTATTTTCTTTGCATTCAAAAGCCCACAGTACTAGTGAATACATCCTTCACCAAGGAATCCCTGAGTTCATTCATTCTTCCCACTACTACTTTTAGGGCCAATTCTGCTACAAGTGTTTCCTACAATTCTCCTCCCTCCAGCAAAAGGCTCTGTCCATTCCCATATCTTCTTTTCTAGTGCAAGGGATCTCCATGTGTTTTCCCATCTTCCCTCATTCACAGTAAAACCATTTTATATTGCATTAAAATGATGGGCAGAACCAAGGTGAAAGATATTTTGCATGCTAAAAATTATAAAAATCTGCCATCAGCCAACAGTTAGAGGTGTCTAACTCTGGTAAGCTGAAAGCCAGTGTTAGAGAGTCCTTGTGCTCCCTCATTCTGCCCTTGATTGTTTGTGGTATGGGTTGTTTTTTTGGGTTTTTTTCCCCAAAATCAGTAGAATGCGTTCCTGCTGAAGCACAGCATTGTTCTTGCTTTTATTAGATTGCATGTATGCAGGTCCATGTCATAGACAAAGAAAGAATTATGAACAAATTTCACTCAAGTCCCATTTAGTTAAATGTGAGCAAAGAGAATATAGATCAGGCTTTTAACTTTGCTGAACTCATTTGATATATGTAGACAATTTTGGTAGTTTTACTTCCCCCATGGTATATGCACATGACAGCTATGACTTTGGCAGAAAGAATCAAAGCATATTTTAATTCATTAGCAATAGAAACACTTGTGTCTCTTTGTATAAGGAAAGTATTAGAAAAAGATGTAAAACTGTTACCAGCTCACATGCATTACCTGCAGCATTGTGCTGATGATACTCGATGAGTTCAGGAACGGATGAGAAGAGATAGTTTTCTGCTACATAATATTGTCCCAAGTGATTCTGCTTAATTTGATAATGTAGAATATCTCCATTATGACTTCTGAAATCAACAAAACATTATAATTTCCAGTTTTAAATTTTATAAAAGTAATTTATACTATAAATCTGCTTAAATATCACTATGGAAACATAGAAAAATCTGAAAACTTGGGACATAGTTCTCAGCTTAAAATGGCTGTGTGTAGCAATGGCTACTGTTTCAGGAGAAAAAAAAAAAGATTCCTTGACTGCCTGTTTTTCCCAACTTTGGGGGATAGTTGCACAATGTCTTTTTTTGCCCAAGTATATTTTACCCCTGTATCATTGCATTCCTAAGAAATAGCCACAGTGTTTAAGAAGTGCTCCTCCTCATTTAGCATTTATTTGAATACAACCTCTTAAAATTAAAATGTTACAAATTACCTGCATTTTCTCCCAAAAAACTTAAACACATATTCATACATAACATGAGATTAAATTTTCAGTTCTACTTCTTCAAAGGGTCTTCATTGGAGCTTTTATTTGACACCTTTGTTTTTCTGTATTTCTTCACATTATCTGTCTTTTTTGCTTTCTGTATATTTTGCTGTCTGCTTGTCCCTGCTTTCTGTGACACTGAAAATTAAGCAGTTAATTTTGCATTTCAGGCTGGTGGTTGCTGAAGGTAGTACTCTAAATTGTGGACACATGTTCACACAAGCAGAGATCAGAATACAGAGAGATTATACAGCCTGCATTACTGAGTCGTTGTCAGAAACATTACTGAGCCCACAGAAATTGTGAGTCTGTCCCCAGCACAGGGATGGTGGGGAGGGCTGGCCCCAGGTTTCCAAGGAGGGAATGGAGGGAGGGAGGAAGAGGGTGGAGATAACAGCAATGCCTTAGCTGCTCTCACCTCTGGCTTGTTGTAAGAGGGAGAGAAGGAAACCAGACACAGTTGGTACGGGGGGATGTGGGATTGCTGATGAAGAGGGTGTAAGACAGCTTGAAATAGGTTAAATCTGTGGTGTAGGTGGTACAGGCAAGTGTGAGTCCTGTGGCTGTTCTCTGGCAAAAGTAAGACTGCACAGTAGGGGTGAGGTGATTTTGGGAGACAAACAGGTGAAGTTTGACCACAGCAGAGTCTGGGATGGATTACAGTGCACAGAGCCTGTGAAGAAAGGAAACAGTTTGGTGCTGTGGCCAAAGGCTGTGGCATGGTTTCCACAGCAGATCATCTGAGAATTTTAGTGCAGATAATCTTGTCTTGCCAGGACATTTGCACACTGACTCCCAGATCCACCCCCCACCATGACCTTTTCTCCACATAGTGTGATTAAATCTGCATGAACAGCAGCCCAGTGGTTCCCTGCTCTTGTGCACTGCATGTCCAACCTACCCAATTATTCTGAAGAGTCTGGAGGAAGCTTTTCCACCACCACTTGATTCAAACCCTAACCATGCAGAGGAACTCACCCCTTAGCCCGCGAGTACATGGACAGCGTAAGAAGACCCTGCCGGCTCGAATCTCTGACAACAAACGCGCCTTCTGTGGGCTGAAAAGAAATCCAAGTACAGTTACCTTATGCTTTTGAGCTTCAGGAATGCTCTCTTGAGACAGGACTTGCAGCTGATTACGAAATTCTGTGATTATTTGGGAGGAAGATAAAGTGGAGAAGAGGAATGGATAGCCAGGTACATGGCAGAACAAAATAAACCAAGAGGAGATAACAAGTGCCAGGCATCTTCTTAGAGATAAGTAATATAGTTGAATTATACACTTCAGTGTGAAGTAGTGAAAATGCTTTGATTTATTAAAAAATCAAATTGTACAAATCACAAGAAAAAAAAAATCCAGTTAAAACAATTCTGAGATGTTCTTCCTTGGTCTTTCTTGCCCTGGGCTGAGCAAAGAGCCAATGAGTTTGACTGAGTTAGGCACTTTGGTAACTGACAGGGAGTAGAATGCAATGTGCACTGTTTGCTCTGTATTTAAGGAAGATGCAGTGGTTTGTTAAGTTCTGCTAAACTCAGAGCTAATTAGCTTACTACACGGATTTCAGTTTTTAATGTCTAATGCAACAGACAGGAACAGTAAGCCACATAATTTGATTTATCTGGACAGAAAATCTACATAGAATTTGCTGGGACTACAGCTTAAAGCTTTGTCAAGTCTGGATAGTCTGCACTTTACACTTACACCAGAAAGCCTTTTTGTTTTAAGGTAGAAATCTTAAAATGTACTTTCTCTCTTACAGAATACCAAACAGATTTTGATTTGACTGTGATAATTCTCTTGATGCCTCTACTGGTAGGTATTTTTCAGTACTTCTAGCTCTATGTAAGCTGAGTTAGTAGTGTTAGTTCTATGCAAGCTGAGTTAGTAGTGTTAGCTCTATGTAAGCTGAGTTACCTTCTGACGCAAAAGAAGTTCTGCCTGGCTTCTGTTTATGTTTTTGCAGTACCACCTGCAACAAGGAGATAATCTATCCTTAATTTCAGCCAGCAAAAATGAATGTCTGGTTTGTTTCACACTTTAATAGTTGCTTTATTCCAAGTTAAAAGCATGTTTAGAACTATCATTGTATATGAACATGTCTTAATTTGGAATGATTTTATTAGACCTTTTTTTTAGAACTTTTTGGCCCCAATTTGCTGTGACTAAATATTAGCTCAAATAAAAGAAACCTCAGGAAAAAAAAAGTTATGCCGAACTGTGATGAAATTTACAGTTCTGGATGGTGTGTGAAGCCTTTCTTCTCTACAATTTTTCAGAACTTTATTCTTCTCTCCAGTAATTTAAATTTATAATAATTGGAATTAGCTACATGATCACAACAGGCAAAGATCAGAATACAGAAACATTATGCATTGGGTCTACAGAAACAGGAGAAATCTGGATTCTGACACTATGATTCATGCACATGAATGTTAATTCATTTTAAGAATAGTGTTTTGTAACAAAAAAAAAGAAAGCTTTTGATAAACATGTTCATGTCTAATAAAAATTTGAAGGATCAAACATTTAAATGTATCTCTGCAATCCATTTTTAGAAATGAAAGCACAGTTATAATTTTCAAAGGTACTTACTTGTATGTTTCTAAATTGCTTTTCTTGTTCTCAGTAACATAGTTGCTGGGAATTAGACCTTCATTCCTGAAACAACATATTGGGGATAATATTATAGTACGGTGTAAAAGATTAGTAGGATTAAGATATACACCATCCTTTTGCTGAATTACAAAGGTTCCCTATCCTAGGGACTGTGTTGCTAGATGCTTAATTCCAGCATTAGAACTGAATAAAAATTTGAGTCCTTTCATCCAGGCACAACCTTTTTGTCCCACAACTGTGGATGGCTACTCAAATGAAAAAGCCAGATGGTATAGGCTGAGATTTAGAAAAATAATATTTTTCTTCTGAACCAGAAGCCACCATCTTAATTTCTGGCCTATACAAACCTCCTATATAAGAAATGCAAAGTGTGTGCTTGGTTGTGTATTCAAAATAGTTATCAGTATACTTTTGCTGAAAACATGAGTTGAGAAAAAGTATTTAAAATATTTAAAGAGAAATCTAAAGGGAAAGGAGGTGGTTGTATTATAATGTACAACCATTCCCAACATTAGAGTACAGGATACACTGAAGAAAATGCAAAGGAGAAAGGGGAAGAACACAAAACAAACATAAGTGTGAAAAGGATCCCAACTGAAGTTATCTAGTTCTCTAAAATAACCTGGTATTTTGGGTAAGAGGTTATGTTTCCGGTATATCTTCATAATCTCTCTGGTTTCATAAAGTTTTTACACATACACACTCTGTTGTAAAGCACTTGAAATATGGAAAGCTGGATTTGCACATGGCCCAGAGCCCAGTGATTCACATGATCGTCAAACACTCTTATGTTGATGAGGATCTTATTGAGTGTAGGGCTTAACTCTGAATTCCCAACAGATTCCCCGTCCATTTCTGGGGTGCCAATCCCTGCTGAAAGTCTGCTCAGTCAATCTGTGTGCCTCACGTACTATTGAACACTTTCAAGCCTGTTCCTAAATAGTCTCATAAGTCTCATTCTATCTGCCCATTTCTGCACAGGTTGCTTTAGGCTTTTGTCTTTCTGTGTAGGATTGAGATAGATGCCCTGTCTCTTACCCGTGTCGGTCTCTCGCCTTCCACCAGAGGGGATCATACTGTTCGAGGATAATGTATTCTTCTGATTTCTTGAGAGGTAAATCTAAAGGCCCTCTAGCAAAGAAATCACAGAGTGCAATAACTCTGGGTTTGTTCGTGCAGTCTTCAAAGGCCTCAGGAGGCAGAGGAGGTAATGGCTTGTCCTTAAACTGTAATTGTCTCTTGTGCTGCTGAAAAATCAAAGTATTTTTCATAATTAGTCTTTTCTCTCTACTATAGATTGCTTAGTTACTGTTACTCTATGATTTTTATGCAACAAAGAACTTGATATGCTCAAGAGCTAGGTACTCCCCTTCTTACTCTCGTACTGAGCCACTGGTACTCACAATTCTCTCTTTTCACCTGCCAAAATGTTACTTACCCCACACTTCCAAATAGATTCATAGGAAACGTCTGGTTGTGAGACAGAGTACTGGGTCACCAGAACAGTGTCAGGGTCCAGGTCCACTTTTGCTCTCATTTCTCTGATTTTGAAAAACATCAAGCATTTGTGTGAATGCATGTCTGTAAACATCCACATAAAAATATCCACAGCCATCTATGCCTGCCTTCATTAGAGATATGCAGAGCACAGTGTCTTTAAACTTCCACATATTTGCTCTTCTACTACAAATAGAGGGATTTTATGAAGTCCTTTATGTATGGATATTTAATTACTGAAAATTTAAACATTTCACATACCTTTCTTGCACTGAGCAGCAGCAGCAGCAGAAAACAGACTGGAAGGTGTGATCTGTGAACAAGAACAATTTCCATATTTGCAGTGTTCCTGTTTGTTTACTCACAACACTTACAGAATTAAGGACTATCCTATGTGCTTACACCTGCTGTTAGCTCTGTCTGGCTGTGAGATATCTAGCAAATCATTATGGCTGAATTTGCAGCCACCAAACCCAGCAGATCTTTCTTACGACAGTCTCCCTTACAATGTTTTGGCAATTATGAGGCTATATGTATGAGCTAAATCAGCTCACTATATCAACAAAAATAAATAATAAAAAAAGATACGTTGTCAGCCAAATTCATAATGATTTGACTGATTACACCCCCTGCACAAGCTCTGCCTAGTGCAATGAAGGGGATGAGAATCTTGTCAGGGACAGGAGGTGAAGAACTGTCCCCTTCAGCACTGACATAATTTTTAGATTATTCAAGCCAAATACAAAACCACACTTGCATGACAAGCTTTTCTTTATTTTGAGGTTTATTCAAGGAGCCACACAATATTAACATGTTTGAATTAATACTGATTTTCCTGTTTCTGTTGCAGCCATTAATATAATAAATACACTAGCCTAGGTTTGAAGTGTGGAGAGAATGTGTGCTTTACACTTGCATGTCAAGGGGCTGATAATCCTTCTTTATAAATTTGTTTCTAAAATCCAAAATACAGTGAATACATCATCACAGTCATCAAAAATGTAGAGAGAAACCAATCCAATCTATCTTGTATATGCAGCAGAGGATATGACATTAAATATGTTGGAAGGCATTAAGAAGATTTGAATTAAGGAAATAAATGGTTGACACTTGGTCCACTCCTACCCAGGCTGAGATGTACCTTCCCCAGTTTGTGCTCCCAGAGCAGTTTGTGCTCCCAGAGCAGTTTGAGCTAAGCTGCAGCAGTTATGGTCCTGTATTCTTTCCCTCTGCACCTCATCTCATCTCAAACTGGGCAGGACAGGATGCTAAAAGGGCAGGCAATCCCTTCCTTGCTGAAGTCTCACCCTCATGCATCACCACAGGGCAGGTGGGAGGGCAGCAGCAGAACCTGCAGGACTGGCTCAGGTGCCCAGGTGCAATGTACAGTGTTTTAAGAAGCAGGAGAGTCAGGGATGGAGAGACAAGGTTCCCCTCATATTCAGCAGCACTAACATAAAATAAACATTATATCCCACTACAACGTGTCCTATTTTTCTCTGCCACAAAGGTCATAGTTTGCAAAGAGGCCTCAGATTTTTATTTGAAATAGACTTCCCAAGATCTCAGAATTTTGCTGCTTTGCATTTAATATGATATTTCTTTGTGCAGTCCCACCAGTTCCTTCCACATTATTTGTTTCTCCTTCATTACACTTTTGCATTGTTGATCCTAATGACCTAATCCAGCCTGGAATAAATAGGATGTCCCTTCTAGTGTCCTGTGAGACTTTTTGCCACTTCCTATTATCAACTGAAAGTCAAATGTGCTAAGAGTATGAATCTTTGCATTCAAACCATTAAACAACCTCACCGCATTATGAAAATGTAACTATTTTCCCTATGAAGGTACATAACATAGCAAATCTTGTGCTAATAAAAGAAGCGAGAATGTTGGATGTCTGAATGATAAGACCAAATCTAGTTCTTAGTTGGAAGAGCCCTGCCTCATAAGTGGTTTGTTTAGACAGTCTTGAAAGTCGTGGTGAAGTTTCCCTTAGACTGTTGAATCCTGTGAAGAATCTGTTGTGTGGGAAACAGATGAGCTGATAGTAATCAGAAAACACCATCAATTGTTTGATAAAAGTTTCCAGTGACAGCTGTGAAAAATGCAGCAATTAAAAATATCCAAGCCAGCTGGCAGCAACAATTCTCTTCAAAGCAGCCAGACTAAAAAGATATTGTCAATGAAGTTTATTTCCTGTGTACTTGTCCAGTGTAATTGTCCCTTGGCCATTTAAACCTGCCTCATAAATAGTGAAGATTGTGGGTGAAAAAATGCTTGAAGTTTAATCAATGTCTACAAAGTATGTCGTTATTTGCAAATAGGAACATGATATTTGAAATCCTGTCTGTTTCTTCTCATTGAACCATCTAATCTAATTAAACACATTATTCCTCATCAGTTTATTTGCTCTCCATATAAAACATTTACAAGAAATAGTTAGAAAGAGCACTGCAGACTTTCTTTGTAACACTAGAATAATCTTCTAATTCGATTTTAAAGATTTGGCTGTTAGCTTGAAAACAAGGGGGTCAGACAGATGCTATGGATGTGTAATTCTGTCTTGTTTTCTTTATGAGCCCAGTAATTTGAGTATATTTATAGTGTAAGGTCAGGAATCCTTTTTGCCTTCAGTGAATCTCAGATTTGTTTTGTTAATGGATGATTTTTATGTCTGACCCCCTCCTTTTACTGTGCTAAAAGCCATTAGTAATAAATGACTGTATGTGACATTTCAAAAAATATCCTAAGCATGTATGATGTTGAGTATTTACCCTCTTGCCCTACCCATAAAACCACAGAAAAGGTATAGGTTGAAGCTGTAATTGTGATGTTTCTTCCTGGGACATTTGCTTCATTTGGTGAGTAATTTTTCCAAGGGTGGAGTGTGTAACCTAATAAAGATGACAAAATAGGAGATGATAAATTCTGCAGACTAAGTTAAGGCTCAGGTTAGATTAAGGCCATGGATCAGACAAGACCACGCTGAACTGAATTGTAGGATCTGGAGGAGCAGCACAAACTTTGCACAGTCCTACCAAAGTTTAATTGTTCTCATTCACTCTGTTGGAGTATTTTAAGTGTGAAATCACAGCCTATCAATCCAGCAGATATCATCCTAAAGCAGATAATTTCCAGTTCTTTGAGAATTGATTTGTCTTTATACATCTTTTCTCAGCAACCTCAGACACTTCTGAAATTCTTTTGTCCCTGCATTACTTTTAGAGTATTTGTGGAATTAATTAAATAGAAATTAGTACAAGTGTAAATTAATGCAGTGCAAACTGTACATTTCTCCTTGGAAATTTGCCAAGGCTGCCAGAAAGCATTATCAAAGCCCATAGAAAAAGGCCTTCAGCTCTGCAGAGCCAAGTCCTGCTTTAGTTAAATTGACTTAAGGCCAGAAGCTTCGACCTGATGGCTTGGAATTTCAGTTCTCAAGCAAAGACTCATGTACTGATCTATGCATTCATTTTACATCTTCCCTGGTCATTGGTAAGCTTCTTGAACTACACTTTTCCCTCCCAATTAAATTCATATTTATTAAGTTCATAACTTACACCAGAAAGTAGGCCCAAACTGTGTGGCTGTTTCAGAAAGACGTGGCCAATACGACAGATGGGGAAAGCTTTGATACCCTGAGTGAATAATTTGATTTAACCTCCTCTCCTCGTGGCCAAGGCAGATGCTGACACAGGGCTGCACAGCAGTGCTGTCACGCAGCAGGAAGATGGCATTTCCTGCCTGACACTTCTCACCCCACATGCACTCTCTCATGTCTTGTGCTCTTCCTTCCTTTCTCTTTTCTCAACACCCATCAGAAAAACTGAGAAAGAATTATAATACTTAAACTCCCGTATTTTAATTTTTTAGAAAAGCTATCATTTGAAATACAAATTAATTGAAAATAGATTCTTAGAATTTACTAATTTAAAATATTTCTTCTTGATTATCCCTTCTTCGAGATCACTGAAATCAGTGGAACAGTTCTATCTGGCTTCCTTTGATTTTTCACCAAGGACATTTTCCTAAAACACTGGATTAGAGTCACATATTATGTGTTAGAGTCACATATTAGGTAGCCTTGATCCTCTGGTCCCTAACTCAAGTAACCACACTGAAGAGTTCATAAATTAAAGATTAGTCACTGATGGTATCACTGAGAGTTGTACTTCAGCAAGGAAACCACATTTTGGATTCCATATTTGGAAGAGAACAGAGAGACCAGTTAGATTTGCCATGTTATGAATTACAGACTGCTTGGACAGGACAGAAGAAAGAAACACAGGCTAAGAGGAAGAAATATTCTCTAATTTTTAACAGTAAATTAACTTTGAATTCTGTTAAAATAAAGTACTTATGTAGCTATGAATTATTTTAGATTCCACTTCTCTGTTTCCTACCTAACCAAAAAGCTTCTCCTAAATTAAAAAAAAAAAAAAGTAATCAAATCTTGCTTCTTTTAAATCCATACCAAGGAAGATCCCTCTAGCACCCACAGCCCCCTTAAATCTTCCAGCTCACATTCCCTTGAGTTCAATCAAAACACAAGCTATGCAAACACATTGCTTTGATCCTCGGGGTATGTCATGATGGAACAACTAAACTCAGTAGTTTAAAACCCAGGTTTAAATTAAACAAGAATATTTGAGGTGTTCAATCTAGAACTCGCCATCTTCCTTCTTCCACTGTATAGACAATTTTTCGTTTCTGCAGTTTTTGATGAAAACTTGCCACTTTAGACAAAGTTATTTAACACAGCAACAAACAAATATAGTACACTTCACTGTTAATGTCTTTTTCTTTCTGGAAATGAATATTTTAGGAGGAAGACACTTGTTTATAAAGCAGTGTAACGTTATCTCCCTGATGACAGGCAAGCAAACACAAACCCCAACACTAGCACAGAGCCATGCCAGCCTATGAAGTACAGTGATGTACATCAGACATATTAGGATGCTCTGTTTCAAACAAGAAATAACCATGGCATGAGAAGCATGTGGCAAAAGTAAAAACACTAGGAAACCAGTGTTGAAGCTAATCTGACAAACAGCCTAAAAATGTGCAGCTAACATTTTGATAACCAACTTTTGAGTCCTGAAAATAAATTTATCTGTGCACAACAGAGCAGATGGGATGCAAAAGGAAGAAGAAGATGGGTCAGCTGTCAGGAACTGTCATTTGCTTAAGCAGCTTAAAGAGAGCCCCATCAGAACAGAACAGAGAAGGTAGAGTGAAAACACATTGCGGCCTGATACAATCCCAAGACACCCAGAGTACACTTTGGGTTGATAATGTTGTCTGCACATGTTGCAAATTCACACATATATGTGCAATCTTCCTCCCATCCTCCGTTGTTACTCACTGTAAATGGCAGCTTTAGGAAAGTAACATCAAAGAGAAAAATAACAAGTCAGAAATTAATTTTTATAATTTGCAATTTATAATTTTGCTATTTCACCATTTTCTTCGCTTGCGTTTCTTTTTCTGAGTCAGTTTCCCAAAGCACTATTAACACTGAAGACACTCTAGTCCATGTCTAAGGTTTGCACTCTTCCGCCATATTTTTGCTAGAAGCTCTTGCAATGGAGCAGAAGATTTACTGTGTCCAACACTACAAACTCAGCTTCTCCATCAAAACTTTGCTGTAACACAGTGTGCCTCCTGGTCTGGTCTGTCAGTTTTCAACATTACTACAAAAATCAATAACCTGGTAGAAAGCCACACTATAGTTTGCTTCTAAAAGCACTTTAAAATACAAGCTTTCAGCTTTTGGTGTGTGCAAGCTGAGGCTTCCTGTCTTTCCTGTGAGTGAACTCTACTCCGAGGAAAGACAGGTTTAGTTCTACCAAACTCTCTATCCATGTCTATGCAGTTCACAAGTTTAAGAACAGTATGTGGAAATATCTCCCTATCTGTATGTAAAATCAGTTGCTTTGCTAAATCTGCCATACAATGGATTAATATTGGTGTGTTCATTTTGAAAGTCCAGACAAGCAGTCTTAACACAGATCCCCTTAGCAGTGCAAGAAAAAGTAGATTCATATTTTTACGGCAATTTTTAAATACTTCATTTGCTAAGTACGCTGCTGTTGCACAAAGCAAAACTACAAGATCAAAATATGCAGCCAAGTTTACTTACAGGTAGAAAGAATCATGTCTGGTTATCCGTTTATATTGAAATGAAAATTCAAACCTCTCTTCATCAGCTGTGCCAGTAAAACAGCCCAAACTGAGCTCTTTGCTCTGATACGAAGCATGGTAAACCACAAATACTGCCTGACCACGCCTACTTACCTTTTCTTTTTAAAAAAAAGACCCAAACAGAGTAGAAGGAGAAAAAATAGTCTGCTTTCTAGCATCAAAAATTTTGTAGGAAAAAAAAGTTATTAAACTGTTACCACTAGGTCTAAGTATTTCTTTTTTTAAAAAAAGTAAAAAAGCCCCAGCAAATGTAAATCACAGAATGGTGTTGCTCAAATGGATTTTTGACCCCAACATATGACAGAATTCAGTTATAATAAAAATGGGAGGAAGGGCTGAAGTTGCTTAAGGGTGAGTGAGCTCATCCAGAAAAAAGGATGGTACAGCATTTCAACCTGCCTTTGAAGATACCAGGCGAGTCAGCAGCACAGCTGCTTCCAGAGGTGATCTGATCCTTTCTAAAATTAGCTGCCTAAGGCTACATTGAAAATGTAGCCTTAGGCAGCCTTCCTCCTAAAAAATGAATTAATCTAGAAACTGGGTGCCTCAGAGTTCCTGACATCCTAAGTATCAGGCCAAATACCAAGTAGGCAGAAATTCTTTTCAGCTACTGGGAAGAGGCATGCGAAAGGGCAAGATTCAGAGCACCCACCCCACTTAGAAAACTGCTGCCAAATGTTCATACAGTTAGTGGCTGTTTTATTATACAAATTAATGATAAATATTGAACTATTGCAAAGAAATAGGCTTAAGGTTCATTGCAAGCAATTAATCTTCTGATTTTCCTAAGTGTCATTTGTCTTTTAAAGGAAATATTACTTATGACACGATGTGTGGTTGAAAGAGTTAGCAGCACCATACTTCGGAAGATCTTAAAGGAAAGTGGGGTTCAAAGGAGCAGTTAGGGAAGGAAAGATGTGCCTGGCTTACCTTAAATGTTCCACATTGCTTTTTCCACTACTTTTTGTACTAGGTAGAGTAGAAACCCCTAGATTTTCCCTTTCAACAATGCTTGCTGTTGGTATTGATTGGAGAGTGGTTTTGGACTCAGCAATTTGACAGTTTCATTTGCATGGTTGGAATAATCTTCTGAGACTTTGTCATGAAGGAAATAGGCATTTGAACCTTTTCTGGCAGCCTGTAGCTTTTCAATAGAATAGCATGAGAAAAGGAAAGCACTTCTTCCAAGAAAGAGGAGGCTTCCTCCTTTTGAACATAAAGGTAAACATTAAACAAAGCAATGTGGGAATCTAAACATCTCTAAAATTGATTACTGAAATAGCTCAATGCCAGAATGATGGAATGTATTAAGCTAACTATGGTTATTCTTAATAACTTCATTGGAAATTAAATTCCTCATACTTCTCTCTGACTAATTGAAAAAAAACTTTTGGTGCAATCTATTTGCTATTATACATACCACAACAGCACAAGTAGCAACAGAAAATGAAAAAAAAACTTAATAGAGCTACTAAGAAAGTGACTACAGTGAAACAGGAATACAAATAGTCCTCATATGCACTGCTACAAAGTTAGATTAACTGAAGTAGGCTTCAGCAAGGTTGTGGAGATGTTGGCCTCCAGGAGAGGGGACAGGGCATGTAACTTCCAAGAAGAGTTCAGGTAATGCTGAACATTTCATCAAGGCCAAATTAATTTAAATATGTATTCATTCTACCATATATATACACATAAAAAGAGAGAGTATATGTATACACACCAAAGTGTATATATCTATACATATATATATATCTACATGCACTAACGTAATGCCATATTCATGTGAACAATTAGTTTGACTTATGATGCATTGACAGTAAATTGTAGGCTACAAATTAGTTGGTTCCAAACAATAGTTAAGATTCAGTTTATTTACACACACGGAGTATGATATCTCGTCTGTTATGAACAGAAAGGTTAGATCACTGTATGTACAGGCAAGAAACAAGAGCCCTTCTTAAACACATTCGAGAATTTCTTTCATTTACAACCCCCTGCAGAGAATTGTGTGTTTAAGTGAAGAAAGGACAAATTTGTGCTTGAACATTTCAAGACAAACCCCCCCCACTTTATATAAATAAATGCATTCAATTTATATATTTACAGTACATACAGCATATAAATAATTTTATAATTAATCCAAAACATGGTACTATGGTTCACTGACAGCCAGTTGTGCTGACTCTTGGACTTATTTTTCATTAGTAACATGAAGACTAAGCATGAGAGGTCTCTGGTAAACCAACTTTACAATGACTCCAGGCATATCATGGCTCATGAAGCACAGCTTTCAGAGTGTTATGCTAAACTGAGCTGGTAAGAACATACCATGTGCAAATGAAAGAGGTGCATTTCATCTTGATAAACACCCATCAGCCAAGAAAAACAATGTTTCTGAAGTATCTCTGGAAATATTTCGGTGTCAGTAAAAAGCCATTTATCGACATCTTCCATTTTTAAGCATACAAATCACTACTAATGCTACTGCCCATGTAAAGAGAAACCCAAAAACATGGACTGTATGTACATGAACCCAGCCCACTAAATGCAAACGAGGTTCCTGGCCTCTGGCCACATTTTCTCCCTCCATAATGAGCTCAACTTTGCAGCTATGCAATGCTGACTTTTTAGAGAAAATATAGAGATTACTAGTATTGCTGAAGATACTGTGCTCATTTCCCATCATGGAAAACTCTCCTTGTTATGGAGTGCATCAGATATTACATGTCCCCCACATTGTTTATTTAGCAGCACCCAACAGCTTACAGGATCAAGTTCTTAAAAAGAAACTAAGAAGCCACATATCTATGGGAAGTGCCTGATTTTCTCTGCTTGTGCTGCTGTTGCCTTTTTTCAAAAAGCATCTTCACCCTCTGCAATGTCAATGATTGCATGAAGCAACTCTTCAAAAGTCGGGCGTTCCTCTGGTTTCTGAAAATAAAAAGCACAGCTGTGATCAAAAATCAATAAACTTGTGTTGATTTTGATAAACTACTAGTCATATAATCGTTCTTTGGTGAGAAATATAGCATTTCATGAGGTATTAAATGTAAAAATAGTTCCTATTCTGGTTTTTGGGATGTGTGACTTAATCTCAGTAAGCAACACCTTTCTTTATGCTTTGAAAAAGGCATAAATAGGTGTTGCTGGACTGCACTCTTTATATAATTCATTATTTTGCATAGTTTTATACCTTTTTTATTTTTTTTCCCCATTCCCACCCTTCCCCAATGAACTGCTCCAGTCTTTCTTTATGCAAGTTTTTCATGCTCCTAAGAATTTTGGGTGTCATTCTCTGATGCCTCTTTTATATCAGTTTTATTTCCTGACCTCTGAAATGAGAAATTATTTCATTTTGTCACTAAATGCCTTCACATACTTAATCAGACAGTTCATTTATTTCATAGAAATTTCTTCAATGTTTTATCTTATCTGAGCTCTAGTTCAGTTGCACATGAATAGCTGAGAGACCTGGATACACTCAGAATGCTGCTCTAGAGAAGATAACTGCTGTTTTTCAGTCAACCTTTATTTCAATTCAAAGACAAAAAAAAAAATTAAAAAATATATATAAATATATACCTCCTGCCAGCACATCATCATCATTTCATACATCTGCTTACAGGCCAGTTTGGGCCGATACAAGCGATGTCCTTGGCTAACCATTGTTACCACTTCATAGTTGGAGCTTTTTTCAAAAGGCATTTTTCCTTCTGTATATACTTCCCACATTAAAACACCTGGGGAAAAAAAAGAAAATAACTAACTTCTTAAACATATGTGTTTATTTTGAGCCCTGGACTCAGGCTTTCTGATAGATAAATAGTTTGAGATCCATATTCTAGGCACTTTTCACATGTATCATCACTGAAAAAGTGTTATTCTAGCAGCATGTGTTTTAATGAATAACAGAACTAAATGTGCCTGTGGAACTTTATCACTAATGAAACCATGGCAAATGGCTTCTCTGAGCTTCTTCTCATATGTCTGAATCCTTCCTGATAACCAAAGCTTAACTACTACTGATAAAATATAAAAAATACACTTTCTTTCCATGATGAATATCTTACCAAATGACCAGACATCTGACTTGCTGCTGAATCGGCTGTAATTAAAGACTTCTGGGGGGCACCATTTCACAGGAAATTTAGCCCCTGAAGAACTTGTGTATTGGTCATCAAGGACATACCTAAAAAAAAATAAAAAATAAAAAAAAAAAAAAATGGAGAGACAGCATATCCTTCTGTCAGCTTCCAAACCTGTAAATTTTAATTTAGCTTTGGTTTGGAGTATTAGAAGCTCATATTGCCACCTAATGGCCATGGACGTTAGCATCACAAGATAAAACTAGCTTCCCTAGGGCAGTACTACTGCTTCAGCCACGACTCTGTTCATTTTTCATATTACCCCAGATTTTCTTTTTTTCTTTTTTTTTTTTTTTTTTTTTTTTTATGATGTATTGGCTGTACAACACAGGTCTAGGCCACCTGCAAGTTAAACGTCTTTAATATGAGAGAAAATGAGGGAAAAGCAGAAATTTCATGTTCTGTTTTTCACCAGCCAGTCTGAGTTTAGTTGTCAGGGGACATAGAAACTTAGCAACACAGAGATGTGGCAAAAGTCAAACCACAGTGCTTTAACACCTTTCTTGGAAGAGCTGCTCCCACCACTGCCTCACCAACACATCACCCACACAGGCTCTAAAAAGGGCAGGAAATTAGCCCCCCTCCAGATCTCAGCATCTCCCAGCCCTTCAGCTAGCACAGCTCTGAACCATCTATCCCAAGAGAATCCCAAAATCACTGAACAGCCTCTTTCTAACATCTATTTAACAAAATTCAGTTTAACTATTATCTCTGCAGCAGCTCTGCTCTCTGAAGCACAAACTGTCTTTTTTCAAATGAGTAAGGAAATCAACAGAGAACAAGCAAACATTAAAGGCACTAGAAAAGAGAAAGACAAAATAAATCCCATCAAAGACTGTTTAATAAAGAAGTCAAAAAAGATAATTTCTGTATGCAATTTTACTTGGTCTGTGTTGCCTTTGGGCTAAGTACAAGGCTTAGGTGAATTTTTCCAAATCTCCATAAATGCCTTTGCACACTCACACATACCTCGTCATTCCAAAATCCGAGACTTTGACCACTCCTGAGTCACTCACCAAGCAGTTTCTGGCAGCCTGCAATGGGAATGGTTAGAGCTGGATGAAAACTTGGAGTCTCTTGCAGACAAATTACAGCAGTCTTATCATTATCATGTCTTTTTATTCATTGCTTAGCAAATTAAGCCATTTACCACATTCAGTGGTGCATTCTCATTATAAAAAGTACATGTGCATCTCCTCTTGACAGTACCATTTTCACAACTACACTGTTGTGTAAAAGATCACCAGGAAAAAAATTATCTCAAGGGATTAATGTGTGGTGAAAATGGCACCAATAGAGAAAGGAGATAGGCTGTTATATCAGCACAAATTGCTACTATTTATAAACATTTCAGAGCGATTTTATTCCTTTTTCTTGAGAGAGGAAAATCTCTCATGATTTTCTGTACAGAGCAGTTTTAGAGACTTGACTAAACCATAAAGAGCCAACTTCATCCATTTAATTTTCTGCAAGAAAAGAAGCAGTTGTATACAAACAGATAATTTCAACAAGGAATAGGTACATTCAAAAATTAAAATTTCAAAGAGGAGTGTATTGCCTAATGGGATGTTACCAGGTCTCTGTGGATAAAGCTGTTCCTCTCCAGGTACTCCATTCCCTCACATACATCCTGGCACATAGTAAGCAGAGTGTCTTTACTCAAAACTCCCCGTTTTTGTCTCAGGTAATTGAGAAGGCAGCCATGCTCCATGAACTCTGTCACGATGTAAATGGGCCTCTGTTGTGTGCACACACCATACAGCTGAACTAGTTTAGGATGTGTTAGCCTCCTGAAAAGATTGAGATCATGTCGTTATTACTTCCTCCACCCAGTGCTAGTTCTCCAGCACACGAAACTGCAGAAATAACACCTCCCCCAGTGTTTATTTATCATCGGTATACAGCATCAGAGGCCTAGGACTGGAAATCAAAGTGCTAACCACACAACTCACATCATTACTTTAGCTTCTTCAATGAAGTCCTCTTCATACATGGCACCTTCCCGAATTGCCTTGATGGCCACTTTGTACTGTGCCCTCCACTTCCCGAGGCGCACCACGCCGAACAGACCGCTCCCCAGCTCCCTCATGAATGTCAGTTCTGAGGGGTTAATCTCCCATTTCTCTACAAAACAAAACAAGTTAACAAACAGTTAAGGAACCTACTGAGCTGGTAGAGGATAAGGAAGAGGAAAGAGAAACTGGGCTAATAGCAAATTAAGGAATTTAGGTAGAAAATGTCTGAGAATTAACTTGAAAACTGAACACTTCAGTACATCACAAAACAAACTTTTAGATGGACATGATCTTTAAGCAAGTACTAACACAGAGGTCAAAATTCAAACTTTCCTATGCCAGTAATTACGTACTGATACTATCAGATTTGATTTCAACAGAATGCCACCACAAAGTTGTGCCAACACATAGAAGTTGCTCACATCACCACACTTGAAAAATGGCTATTATAAATTTATATTTTAAAACAGTAACCCCTCAACAAAGATCAAAGGGTCAAGTTTGAGTCAGAAGTCTGGAGGCTAATGAAGGAACCAAAAGCACAGCCCTCTAATAAGAGCTCAAGATAGCCATGGCAGAAAGCATGGAGGAAAATACCAAATTTTGCTGGAGTATCAGTGGCACGTGGTGCCTCTGCAAGGGTCCTGAAAGTACAGCTTGGACCAGCGTAAGTTCATATAGCCAATCACAGCACAGAATCAGATATTTTCAAAACTTCTAGAAAGTATTGTAGCACCTCAGCATACACAAAATCATTATAATAAGTGTAGATGAACATAACAGGCAATCACCATAGCTGAATCCTGCCGTTGTCGGTGCTGTCGTCCTCTTTGGGGTCACCGGGTAACGCAGCCTGGTAACGAGACCTGAGATTCAATGACAATTCAAGAGACACAGTTTACTTCTGAAACAGCACCAGGCAGCAACTCAGCCTCTTGTTCACTGCAGACTCCAATTAAGAATATGTAGAAAAATCAGATATAATAAATGAAAAGCAGGAGTATGGTTTTGGGGTGTGTTTTCCAGAATGCCATCAGGAAGTGCTGGGCCATCTGAGTTTGATGTAAAGATCTGGAAATTACAGTTCTTGAGTGAGATTTGTGCACAGACCAGACTTGTAAAAAAGAAGTATTAGTATCTGTGCCTTAAACCCAATCCCCATCCTCTCCCCATTCCATCATACAGGGGGAGACCAGCATCAGCCATCAGCTATGAATCTGGAGTAGGGATTTTCTAAACAACAAATTATTGTTCTCCTCAACTGTTTGCTATATGGGAAAGTTAGATTATTTCAAGTGGCAGTGACCAGCAAGTAAAAAGATAGGACCTGGAGAGTGTTCTGGGGAAGTACCATCCCTATCCATCTACTGTGGGTTACAGGCAACTGACAGAAGCACTATGTGGGAGATAAGGGGGCTAGTTTTCCTGACTTGATACAACTATTCTCCTGTTATTCTGGGGAAGTAACATTTTATACATCATATGTATATATATATACATGCACAAAACCTTTCAAATTATTGTCTATATTGAAATAATGTGAAACTGCAGTGTTTCATGTCTTTCCTGAAAAGGAAGGATCCACAAAACCCCCCAAAATTTCATTAAAACAATAAAATGTCTCAAACTACTTTTCAAATCAACCTTAAGTGATAGAAAGAATCCAATCCATCTACCTGCTGCATTATGGCTGTGATATTCAATTATTTCTGGAATGGAGTTAAAGAGATGTTTTTCTGCGAGGTAGTACTGTTTTGGCGACGTCACTGTTTCTTTTATATGATAGTGTCTTATTCCTGATGAACCTTCCCTGGAAAAAAAAATAACAACAATAACAATTTGTAATATTATCATGTCATTTGTAGTGAATTTTTTAAGAAGAGCACATTTCCAAGGAAAAGTAAACTGAAAGTGCCAGCACAGCTGCAAAGTACCACATGCTTTGGGAACGGCTTGAATATCAAATATCCTAAGCCCTGGCAACTTGCCTTCACCTCAGTTCTCAAACCAAGTTGAAGATTAACCCAGAAAAGGTTAATTTTCAGCCCAGTGAGTTCCCCAGTCCAGCTCACACATACAGGCTGGCAGGAAAGAAGAGACCAGATGGAGTGGGAGAGCAAAACCTCCTCCTGTGTGTGGGGGTTAAGGTCTACGCTGGATTAAACAAATGGGAACTAACCATGGAGTTGAGAAGTTTGTTTTAGTCACCCGCCTTTTCTATCACAGCAGCCCTTGTTCCTTTATTGAGCCTTCTCCTGGCTTTCCCCCAGCCAATGCATTTGGATACAGATACAAATGGATTCAGACAAGACAAGGTGTGCAGAGAAGCCACAGAAACTCACCCTCCAAATTTTGTGTAAAGGGAAACAGTATACAGGCCAGGCTGGCTGGAGTCTCTCACGACAAAACCACCTTCTTTATCCTAAAACACAAGCACATTGACAGTTTTGAGCAAGTGGTTTTAAGCTACATGATTCTTTCACTCAGTTCCAGGACATGCACTTGCCAAAATAAGCCTGTGCTTTAACTAAAGAAGCTATTTAAATTTAATTTCGCAGTTGAAACTGTAAGGCTGCTGTGCTCACCTCATTTCTGAGGAGCTGCTCTGCCTTGCTTCTGTTCAGGTTTCGGCTGTACCACCTGCAACACAACAACAGTAAATAAAACTTCCCCAAGTTGCATGATTTACCTAAACTGCTTTAAGCAAACTATTATGAACCTAGAGATAAAATAATTTTATGATAAATGAAGATCAAGAATTGAACCTTTGATAACATGCAAAAATCAGTTTCTGCTACATTGTGCAGTTGTCCCATAAAAAAGTTCTGAAACAAATCCATGGAGATCCCATAAAACTCAGGGAACTGATGTAAGTTTTTGGAAAAAAACACTTGTCAAACATGTCCAGGCTGATGGCAGTAGTTGCTGTGAAGAGCAGCCCAAGGGGAAGACTGGCAGCCCTGGCGAAGCAGCTGCCTGCACACCAGTCAAGCCACCCATGGAGCTGGCTGTCAGACTGCCCTGTCATTCAGTATCTCCATACCTCTGGGCTCCCAGGGAGGACCCACCTAGCCAAGGGGAGGCTGAAATTCTGAATTAAGTGTCATGGCTGCACATCTCTGAGCTCTGTGCTGCATGGGCAGGTTAAAGCAGCTACAGAAGCACCGGCAAGTCAGCCAGTCACAGAGAATAATAAAAAAAGGAAAACCAGGCAGTTTGCAAATGGTGTGGTGCAGTTGTTTTGAGCTATGCTGTTATTTCAGTAACCAAGCAGGGAAGTGGCACGGCAGCCTTTAATCAGATTCTGCATGTTCTGGAGACAGTGGTTTCTTGCAGTTGGTACATGACCTGGAGTAATGCTCCCTGGGCTGCGCAGAGACTCAGAAGTTTGGCCCCAAGGTGGTAAAAGCACAAAGTGGCTGGACCAGATAAGGCAGTCCAGTTCCTTCCTTCCCTTTCTGCCAGCCCTACAGCCCAGCCCAGAGCTGAGCAGAGCTCTTAGCAAGAGTTTCTAAGATGAGAAAGCAACAAAGAATTCCCTCTAGTCAAGCTAAGGGCAAAATCCCAGATGAAATTATTTTGTCAAACCATGGCAAGTAGGAACCACATGTAACTGAGAGTAAAGTTTTGGAACTATTAACATAGCTTTGAAATTTGGTTTTATTTACTATTTTTTACAGCTCCATTTTAGCACATGAAGTGTATCTTAAATTCTCAGGCATTACAGTTGATCCTATAATGATGTTTGATCAAGAACAGGTTTGGAGACTATCATCTTAAATTTTACCCTGATGTTCTTAAATAAGTACTCCCTAATTAAATATCAACTGGAAAAACCATTAAAAAATAAGCTAGACATTTATAGCTGTTAAGTTATATTGAAATCTGAAATGCATTGAGTTACGTAGTTTCTTGAAAACTAGAGCTTCCAAAGTATCCAATATTTTATGTTTATTTGGAGTGACTTACACTGTTTTCTCCTCTACTGTTTACTGCTACAAACTTTGGAGAGACATGTCACTTTACTATTAAAACAACATTTAACACACTTAAAATGGGTACATTTCCTTCAAAGTCTCCCTTTGTCTACCAGAGAAATAAGAGGGGATTTTTGCTTTAACCTTGATAGCCTAAATAGTACATGCTGATGGCTGTCTCACTGACTTGACTCTACATTATAAATCCCAACAGAATCAATGAGGAGAATCTGAAAAAGATATGCCTCTTTCAGTTGTTTAAATTTAACCTCTAGGTGCTACCGTATGTGAACAGTTGCTTTCAAAATGCTAAAAATACATTGTCATTCTTGAAGCATAGGTTTCATTTCATGATATTCCAGATTTTAATTCAAGCATTCACTTACTCATATTGATCAAGGTTGTTGGACTTCTTTCCTGTTACATAGTTGCTTGGAATATATCCTTGTTTTCTAAGAAAATATAAAATAAATCATATGAGTGAAAACATGCAAAATTGCATGCCTAGAAGATAGTTGTTTCATTCTGCTAACTACCAGAGGTCTCTCAATGTAATTTATTAATTACTGACCCACCCACTCTACTACTGATTATTCAGAAACTAATTTTCAGCATCATCAGTTGACATTGACTTTTAGCAGCTTGGCCAGCAGAAGTGTCCAAGCAAACCAGCAGAAGGGATGAAGGAGAGTGAGTAACCCTCTGCTGCTCCATCACTCTTCTGCAGTCAGAAGTCCCAGTCAGTCAGAGGAAATATGTGTGGAGCCTGGCACAGCCTGATAACTCACAATTACCATAACATATGGCAACAGGAACCTGATAAATATTGAAATATGAAAACTTTCATCTTTGAAACCGCAGGGAAAATTCTAATACAGGGAATGTGAAGATGTAGTCATTACAGCATCTCACTGCAATTCTCTCTCAACTTATTCAAAGATTGTCCCTAATGATCCAGCTATTAAGTAAAATGATTATTCAAGTCTGGAAGTTAGTCTGCTGAGCTAAATGTTAACCATATTGCTCCCTAATGAGATGTTCCCCAGGGAAGTGGGAATACTTTACCAGTGAGGTTTTAAAGGATGGCTGGGCTAGGTCTTTAATTGGGAAACTATAAAATTGGAAAGTAAACATAATTGGAAAGGCTTCCAGTTCTGCAACTGTCTTTGCACTTGGGTCCCACAATCTTTCTATCAAGTACTGCCCTTTTAAAAATTGGCTTCTGCATGAGAATATATGGAGGAGATTTCAGAGCCTGGGCCTAATGTAGGCTCTAATGCAGTTATTTGTTGACACATAGTCAATATGAACTTCTACAATATGAAAATAGACTGATAAAGTTTATAACAAAAAATAAGGAACTAATTCTTACCCATATTTGTCTCTTGCCCTCCACCAATGGATGTCGTTCTTCTCAATCACTGTATATTCTTCACCTTTCTCTAGTCTTAAATCATGGTGTTCTGTAGGTTCAAAGTCATACATTGCTACCACTATCTCCTCCTCTTCATTCCCATTTTCTTCAACTGGAGGAACAGGTGGAGGAGGCCTTCGCTGAAAACAACACCACATTATTAAATTATCATCCCACACTGCTCCACCTTCCTGCCCCACTCACCCTTCCCATCACACCACTGCATCCTGGAGGCAAAAGTTGGGCTAGTCCTGTGGTGGCCTGGGGGCAGCTGGGCTCTGTGGCAGCAAACCACGCAGGTGCCATCCATGGAGCTGGTTTCTGCTGCAGCCGCCAGTAAAGAGCAAAGCTGGCTGGCATTTGCTCTTTGCCCGCATTTTCCACCAGCCATACAGATACATCTAATAGATGCAGCTAAATTTCAGTGGGATTTTTTTCACTCTGAGATAGAGCATGATGCCCATTGATGCATCCAGAAATAGACTTTTGCTCCAGGATACAGCAAGTATTTTGAGAAATGTAAGCGCTTTTTCAAAAAGCAGTAATTATCTGTTCAATATTTTAAAGATTCTACCTACCGCACTTTTTTCTGGCATCGAGGAGGATAATCTCATTACATCTAGAAACAAAGCACAGGAGAGGATTTGTGCCTATTTATTTAGCTATAAATTTTAAAACTAAATAGAAGGTTTACATTTTAGATTAGGCTTGAACTAGCCTTCAATATGGCTTAGAAATTCAGAAAGCAAAGACAACTCCAACTATAGGAAAAATAACTAAATATTCTTGCAAAAACATCCTAAATCAGCCAGGAGGTTACATTGACCGATAGATTTGGCAACATCTATGCCACACCAGAACATGCCACAGAGAGCTCTGAACCAACCCTCAGATGCAAAAAAAAAAGAGAAATAAAAAAAGGATAGAGATAAAAAAGGCATAAGAAAATGAAGCTGTGTTCTTGTCAGCATGATTATCTAAAAGTCTGTTAGTATTAACATCTGTCCTTTTAAAAAACAAAAGCCCCTGAACCCTGCTTTGCTAAATAATGCATAGCAGTTGTATGTATTTTCTTATTACACCTCTGAGATCCAAAACTATTTTTCTCCTCCACTAATTTTTTCACACATTTAAAAGGCTGAGCTATAGGTCATGCTTTTCACTGTGCTGAATCAGATCAGCCATGAGCCCCTGTTTATTCTGCAAGTCTTCTAATGCTACTAAATCCCCAGGTCCCCCTGACTGCCTGTGCAGACATAAGAAATCATTGGGTGCCACAGATTTAACTGGGAGATAAGAAATGGCTCAATTTCTTTCCCTAATACAGAATTTTTCTTAAATCAAGGACTGATAATTACTAGCTCCTTTGTTGGACAGTGTTGCAGTGCCACAGCAGTGCATGCTATAGAATCCACTGCTGAATCAGCAGAACCTGCAATCTGGAGGCTGGAAGAAGTCACAGCTCATCCAGGTTCAGCACAAGGACACTTACAAACCTCTGAGAAAATTCAGTCCAGTGTCTGTAAACATATTAAACGTTCTTGTACCATTTTTAACTAGGTGTAAGAACACTGAATGCAATGCAATTATTATTCTTTCACATGGATATACAGAGGTTTTAATAAATAACTGAAGAGCTGTCAAGATTTGTAGCTGAATCTTTTTGCATAAGGTTTTTTTTTAATATGCCAGAAGAACTTAATAAGAAAACATATGTACTTACTGTTTTCAAAAAGACTGTATCTTTCACAGCCAGGTGCTAATTTTTCTGTCTGCCTACAGCATTGATAAATTCCCTCTGTCCAGAATTTAGGATGATATTTTACCATTATATTGCTGTTGTTCTTTATTTCTACAAGAAGAAAAAAAGCATATATTGAAAAATACAAAAAAAAGTCTGCAAGAGGGTAATTTTTAATACATATCACAATATCTTTGACATGAGGCATAATCTTTGCTTTAGCATGGCTTCTCTTCTTGCAAGTTCACATGGAGGTGATAAAACAATCACAGAGGATATATTTAAGGTAATAACTTTATTCCAGAAGGGTATGCCATACTCCCCCCCTACCCCAACCATCCTGGCAGGGGTTTGGTGCATCTCTGACAGGAGACCCTGCACCACTGGGATCAGTCAGGCAGCTCTGTAGGCTTTGGGAGCTCTGCCTCCTCCTTTGTTGCTGTTGCAAGTGACTCAAATTCATCTACAAACAGTGTTCTGGTGGGAAAGACAGCTGATATTTACCTCTATTCTGTGGCACAACTCATCATTTTGGCCTGGAAGGCTCCTTACCCCACACTATGGGCTTGCTGAGTTTCAGAGGTCACTCCTTGCCCTCTGACCCCAGCCCAGAAATAATTTCTTATTACTTTACAGACCACCTGTAATTAATGTGAGCACCTGATGGTGAGGGAAAGCATTAAGAAGCAAATAAAAAAACCACTTTTACTCACTGCAAAAGCAGCAATCTGACCACATCTCAGCAGAGATACCGCCTATCAATTTACATCAGCTTAAGGCCCACAATGTTGTCTAGCTACATCCAAACAAAACTTTCCAGTGATGCCATCAGCCAGCTTGGATAAACTTTTTAACTCATTGTGCAAAAGCAGAGTCAAATTCTGACTGCAGCTGCACTTCACAAAATCAAACCAGATCAATCTGAGTATTTGAGGCTCTCAGTACCTGCTACCACACCCTGTGTATGCAAGTAACGAGCTGGCCCAATAAAAAATTAAAATTGGTAGATGTAAGCAGCAGACTCTGCCATTTAATTTTTGTAATTTGTTGTGGGTTGATGCTAGCCAGCAACTAAGCACCCATGCAGGCACTCACCCACTCCCACAACACTGTGGGACGGGGGAAGGAATAGAAAGAACAAGAGATAAAAAACCTTTTGGCTTCAGATAAAAACAGTTTAATAACCAAAAGAGAGAAAAAAAGAACCCAGAAGTAATGTAAAGTAAATCACCCACCATCTCCCACAAGCAGACCAGTGCCCAGCCAGCCCCTGTACAGCAGCCAATAGGAAGGAAAAAACCCTAATCCCTGTCTTCCTCTATCCCAGTTTTTATTGCTGAGCTCAACTCTATATGGAATATCCCTTTGGCCAGTCCAGCTCTGGTGTCCTGGTTGTCACCTCCCAGCCTCTTGTCCACCTCCAGTCTGTGGGGGCAGAGGAGGAAAGAGGCAAATCCTCCATGCTGTGCAAGCACTGCTCAGCAGCAACCACAACACTGGTATGTTTTTAACACTGTTTTGGCTACAAATCCAAAACACAGCACCAAGTCAACTCCAATCCATGCAGACAGCTCAAGCTGTCTGCCTATGTTATGTTAGGGTTTAAGTACAAGCAGTTCCCATTACCTTCTTTCAGGTTCCTCACCCACTGATCCCGGCTTTGTGCACTCGGTGCAAAAATATAAAGTGTGTTAGCATCATACACAACCTGGAGAGGAGAAAAGAAATAATCAAAATACATTCACCTCACAATGTTAATTAATTTCTTCCTAAAGAAACAGAACACATGACTGTTGAAGACAAATGACTGTTACTCTTGGCAAAATTGGTGTATTCAGGCACAAAATGCAGAAACTGGAAAGGGCTATTAAGGTGTATTACTCAGATATGATGTTTTCAGGAGAATTAGGAAGAATTTTGTAATGGTGTATTATCTCGTCAGCATTCCTTAAAATGCTTGCTTCACGCTTTGCCCTGTTCACTCTTCACTGTGTTTTTTCTGAAAGCAGTTCAATTTAATGAATGAAAGCTACTTTGTAATCAGACATTCTCCATCTGATTCAGTAATGCTCTGGAGTGACTCTTTTTTTTATTTCTCCACTGCCTGAGCTGGCAGAAAAAGAGTACTGCTGTGGCAAAAATGGATCAGAGTCACTGCTGCCCCTCTCCAGCAGTGGAATTCCTCCTCACCCCAACCATTCCCACTGTAGAAAGGAGGGAATAGTAAGTATCCAACCCCCACATTTTTCTTTTTCCCCTCTAAGCACTTTGTTTTCCGTTTTCCTTTCTATTCAATTCACAATGAAACAGGGCAAAAGAAAAAAAGCAACCACTTTTATTTTGATTTTCTTATTGCTATATAATTTCATGGCAATTAGATTTAATTCCATGTAAAAGAATGAAGACAGGGAAATTGGGCTGTCAGCTCATTTCTTCCAGCAGAAGAGGGCAGGGCAGTTTCCAGTCAAAATTCAAACTGAAAGGGTGAGGAAGAGAAAACAACCAAGTGTCTGTGGCCCAACTCCCAAGAGAAGGGACTGCAAAGCAGCAGTGCTTACAGGGGATGTGTTTTAACCACTGATCCTGAATCACCTCCCACCAGCCCAAGAAACAGAGAATGGGCTCATTATTTGGAATTGACAGTAATTTTAAGGGCAGTTATGTTCAAATGACTTGGTGTTGTTGAAAAGAGTACTTTATGTATTTTATATTTTAAAACCATATTTTTTGAAAACATTTTTTATTTTAAAATAAAAATTTATTTTAAAATTATTTTTAAATAGTTTCTATTTTAAAAACATACCTGAAAAGGATATTTATTTTGACATGGAATAATACCATCACTTTTTACAACTTCTACACATTTAATCCTTGAAATATCCACAGATCCTTTTCTGTACTTTTTCTATGAGAGAAAAGAAATAAAAGATTTGTAAAAAGATAACCAATTTATCTAATTATCTCATTTTTTCAGCAGAGACATCTTGATTTCTTTCCCACTTATAATAGTGATTTTACTTTGTATGACTTCAACTGGGGAAGTTGTCTGAAAACAGAGTATAAAGATCTGCACTTGCGAAAATACAGTAAATTTGCTTAGTGAAAAGTACCAATTCTTTATATAGAGAGTTTCCAATCAGATGTAATTGTAGACTTAATATAATCTTCTTTACAAAAAATAACTTGAGAAAAAAAAGAAGTGCTTCCCCCTTGCTGAGTTTATGATTAAAACTGGTATAATATCATCTGCTTCCTTGTTCTGTTGCTGAAGTGCTCCAGCATTTGGAGGCTTCTGCTGTGTTCTGCTAAGTTTCCAGAGAAATTTGGATGCTACACAGGCAACACAAGGCCCTGATGAGACAGAAGGCAGAAGATATACCCTGCACCAAAGTGGGGTCTGTATTGAAGGAACTTCTTTGAACAAGGCTACCAGAATCCCAGAGAAGCAAAGTCAAAAGCACAGACTAAATCTGCGATTTAGTCACCTCCACTGATAATGATGAGCATTTTAAAGAAGGCACAGGTGCTCAGCAGGTGCTGCACAGTGCATGGAATGACAGTGTAGTTCAACACTGGAGAGGCAGCCCCTTGGAAGAACAGCTGATAATGAGAGATAGGTGTACTGGGCTTTGGTCTACACTGAAATCCACAGGAGGACTGTATAGTGCCATCTCTCACTTTTGGGACAACCAAATCTCTAATAGGAGAGGAAGTTTCTACTGGAATCGAGAACAAAACAAAAGCAGTAGCAGCTCATGGCTGGTACTGAATTAATACACATCAAAAAAATTGATTTGCCGAGCACATCCAGAACATCCAGTCCAGAGTACATCTTATGAAAGACTGACACTGTTCACACAATGTGGAAATAATTAGCAATTACTGAATTCTTTGAGATATGCCAATCCTTACTCAGCTCCTCTCTTGGGGATGGAAATTTTAGCCCGAATAGCAGAAGTCTTGTACAATCACAAGCAATTGAAAATACAGTCTTGTAAACAGAAGCAAACAACTTCAAATACAGCAGTTATGATTCCATCACCCTAGAAACACTACAGTTAATTACCCATGAAGTTTCATCAGCACTTAAAATGCATTTAGCACTCTGAGTCTTACGTAGATGCAGAGAAAACATGCTTAAAGAATTCATGTACATCATGGTCAGCATCAGGAAGAAAGACAAGGAATAAGTTCAGATACAGCTGCAATTTGTTACCAGAAAAACCAACACACAAGAGAAGTGGGTTTTTTAAGGGGAATGTATGGGGAAATTAGGCACTTTAACCAACCATAAAGAAAAAGTAAATCATAAACATCACCATGAGTTGTACTACAAAGATTTATCAAGTAATGCTGAAAAATAATTTTGTACTAAGTATGAAACCTTGGATTTTTCTTAGCAAAAAATAATTTTAAGTTTTTTGTTTATTTTATGTTGGTTACGTAGATGCAGAGAAAACATGCTTAAAGAATTCATGTACATCATGGTCAGCATCAGGAAGAAGGAATAAGTTCAGATAAAGCTTCAGCTGCTATTTGTTACCAGAAAAACCAACACACAAGAGAGGTGGGTTTTTTAAGGGGAATGTATGGGGAAATTAGGCACTTTAACCAACCATAAAGAAAAAGTAAATCGTAAACATTACCATGAGTTGTACTACAAAGATTTATCAAGTAACACTGAAAAATAATTGTGTACTAAGTATGAAACCTTGGATTTTTTTAGCAAAAAATAATTTTAAATTTTTTGTTTATTTTATGTTGGTCACTTCCAAACTCAGGCTATTCTATGGTATCCCCTTACTTGAACATTGACTCCCTAAAGTTCATGCAAAAGGCAAAAGTTGTTACTGAAATCCACACCATTGGGCAGAGCAGGCAGTACTGCCTCTCCCTCCCTTGTCACTGTGTGGCTCACCCAGCAGTTTCAGGGATGCTGGGTTAGCCGAGGCAGAACAGGAGGGTCCAAACAAGATCAGCCTTTTCATGAACCCCAGAATTCAACACCTCACATAACTGGGCTGAAGACACCTCTCCAGATGTCTTTTTTGCACAACAACAGGCAAAGAAGAAGAAACACCACTCCTGTAACTTATCTACCCTTCTTCCTGTGTCCAGAGGGGTGCTCATACTGCTTGGATCCCACCTGCTGGTTAACCCAGGTTGCAGGACAGACAGACAATACACATTGGAGAGGGTTTTTGTGTCCAGAATCACAGAAATCCTTAGAGGAACACACTATTATTTTATCTTGAATCACCCTCTTTCTGGGCTCAGAGATTTTCATGCCAATTTTGGCATTCAGGGAGCTCACTCAGAGGACACTGACAGGAGGACAAAGGACAGGAATCCAACTAGATAACCATCTAACATTTGGGGGGAAAACATAAAGGAAATCCCCTGGAATACAGCACTTTATTCTAGTAATTATATTTCCTAAGTCACACCTTTGTGTGTCTCACTCAGAGGACAGAGACAGGAGGACAAAGGACAGGAATCCAACTAGATAACCATCTAACATTTGGGGGAAAAACATAAAGGAAATCCCCTGGTATACAGCACTTCATTCTATTTCCTAAGTCACACCTTTGTATGCTTTCTTGATTTAGGGTGGCTCAGTTTGCTTTATCACAAGATGCTAAATTAAGCTAACACAGAGCTGACCCACCTTACAAGGCAATCCAACTTATTAAACCTAATGTCAGGGAATATTCTTCTGTTCTTGCATATTTTATAGGTTTAAACTCCCCCTTGCATATGTGAAATTAAAAACAAACCTACTGCTCAAGACATTTTCAGATCACATCAGAAGCAACAGTTAGTTATTAATGCCAAATGTGCAGCTCTGAAAACAAACCTACTGCTCAAGACATTTTCAGATCACATCAGAAGCAACAGTTATTAATGCCAAATGTGTAGCTCTGTTTTAGCTGACCATTACTCATTATATAAACTGTGGTGCACAGAAGCAGGAAAGAATGACTCAAGAAAAATGCTAAAGAGACCACTGCAATTCTCTCTCCTCCCTACCTAAATGATTTCCCTTTATAATAATTGGGCATCTTGCATACCATAACTGTGTTGCATTTATTCTGCAGGCAAATGGGTTCTGTGGGCTCTACACCTAGCTGTACAGCAGACCTGAAATGCAGAATCAAGGCAGAGCACAAGCCCTGAAGAAGTTGGGAAGTAGAGATGTGGGCATGAGCCAGCCCCGAGAAATTCAACCATAGCCACTCTTTCCAACAAGAAAAGCTACAAAGTTACAAAATTAGTGCAATGGCTAATCACGCAATGTTGAAGTGCAGGAAGCAGAGGAACATTTTTAGAGATTCCTTTTTTTAGGTGGAAGATGGCTAACAGAGTAGAAAAAAGATAGAATTTATGGTAGAAGTAGCAGTATTTTACCAGAACATTCATACATGCTCTCTGAATGGGATACAAGTATTCAAAGAGGATTCAGGAGAATCACAGGTCAGTGAAACAAAGGGATCTATCAAACCTGGTCTGCCTCTTTACTAAAGATAGATATGCCTCTAGAGGGAGGCCTATAGAAGCAAATATGGTTAGAACACTAATAAAAGTATAAAATACTAAAACCCAATAAGGAAAACCTAAAATAGGTAAAATATGTGCTACAAAGTCACACTAAAGGTTGGGGTTTTGGTGTGGGTTTTCTTTTTTAATGTGTCTTCTTTCTGAAAATAACAAAAGGGAAGTGACTATACAGAAACTATTAAACAAAACTTTTCAAAATACCATACATATTTCATATTTACCTATGTTCCAAAATATTGATTCAGAGCTTTAGAAGTCTTGCTCACAATGGGTATGGCCAAGTCTTGTTTCCATACAATCTCAAAAGAATAAACTATTCCTCTTTATTTTAGCATATTAAACAGTAATATGAAAAAGTCATAACACTAGACCTATGTTGTCAGATACAGAACAAATACAGGATTACACAATTCCTTAAAAAAATCTTAGAATACAGGAAGACAAGAAATACCCAAGTGTTAGATAAGTGTACGAAGAGCTGATCCTCTGTACATTTGGAATTACTCCTCTGCTAAATACAGAAGCTTTACAGCTTCAGAAGCCCATATTCTCACTATCAGATGAAAATATTTATTCAGTGTATTTCCTCTTTGCACTGTTTACCCCTACAGAAGTATGTGTGTATGCGGGGTTGTTGAACAATACAAAGGACATTAGATTGGGGGGAGGGGGGAAGCCTCAATGAAAACATGTATAAGTCAGCCCATCTTGCCAGAAATATGTAGATTTTTGTCTCCCCCATGCTCTCTCTTTCTCTCTTTCCTTGATGCACATATTATTTCTTTCTTCCATGCCTACCCCCGTATAGGAAATCCTGAGGTCACCAGCATGTGACCCATGGAGCTTGTGTTCTCACCAGTGTAGCACATCACAGCACTACTTTTATCTCCTTTTATGGACTGCCTCTTCAGCTTTGCAAAACCACAAAAAGCCTGGCTAAGCCAACACTGCCTACAGACAGCTGCTTTGATAAAATATGCTCCAGAGCCAAATGTATGGATATTTTCATTTTTGGATCCTTTGCAGGGAGGGAGGTCTGGTTTCTGGGTTTTGTTTCTTTTAACAGTATTGCCATTTATTAATAAATGCACTGACTGGACACTTCTGCAGTTCCCTCTTGAGGCAAGCAATTACAGATTATGAGAATATAATTACCATAGCTAGGTGTTAAGCGGCCACATTTTCTATTCCTATATTTTCCAGTGTGTCAAATACATTGAAGAATGCCCTTCTCCATTCAATTATATTTTTAACTTATTAAGAAAAGTATCAAGTATTTTTATTTACCTTTTGAAAATTGCTAGAATTGATAGGAAAAGCAAAAGGTGATTACTATTCTGATCTAGT